CTTACCGGGCCCCCAAGGCCCTGCCTGCCCCCCAACCTCCCCCTTCTTGTCCTCTGAAGCCCCCGCCCTTTGCGTCAGTCTAAAAGCCTCCTTCTGACTTCAGGGCCTTTGCACCGGGAAGGTCCTTTTCCTTCCTCTCTGTCTGGACAACGTGTCCTCGGCCCCCACATCTCACCCCCCCTGTTGCCTGCCCAGGGGAGCAGCGCCCATCACCCCACCTGCCTCACCTCTGGTGCCATTCCAGGCGCTCAGTCTCACATGTTTGTCCCCTGGAGCAAGGGGGTCCGCTCTCCAGGCAAAGACAGGCTCCTGAGGCTAGGCCTGGGCACCCAGCACGATCAAAATGACCCCAAGCTAAGGAGGGACCCAGGCCACAGCCTGGACTGACAGACCCTGCTCCCTTCCTGCCCTCACAGCCCCTGGGCCTCAGCTCTGGCCCAGAGGGGGTCTCTGCCGGTCCCTCCACCATGAAGCACCTAGTGAGGGGACCCACGCAGCAGAGGTAGGACAGTAAGCCTGGTCCACAGGAACGCTGAGCCAGGGTGGCCATGGGGGTTGGGGCCCATACTGGGAGGGCCTCCGACAGCCCACATCCAGGCCTGGGCTGGTTCACAGTAGTTGGACGTGTAATCCAAGAACATGGATCATTCTGGAAAGCCTGTGCTTCTAACTTTCACAAAAGTGTACTGTGCTGTGGTTGGCATTGCTTTTTCCACTCAATACGATGATTTTTAAGATCCTTGTTGGTTATTCTGCGCCTCTCTGGTTCTAAAGGCTGCGTCTCCACAGTGTGTGCTCAGCCCTACCCACGATGGATCCCAGGTCTCCAGACAACAGCCCCAAGCTCCTCACACTGCTCCTGAGGGGCCCGTGGGCCGTTTCCTCAGGAAAGTGTGCTCAGGAAAGGACCTGCTGGTCACAAGACCGCGTGACCGAGTGCAGTGAAGCGAGCACCCTGGGGCCACCACCAGGGACCCAGCGCCCCAGGCTTTGCCCATCCAAGAGCGGGAAGGTGAGCCCTGCACGAGCTGCTCGACCTTCCTGGTTTCTCTTCTGCAGACGATCTGTCCTGAGTTGAAGACACTCATCCTGAGCCCCAGCACCTGCCCTCTGCCAAGACCTCCATATTGGCTTTTGCTGGGGAGCCAGAGTTTGCCAATCATTCAGAAACCAGGTGCAAGGGGGCACTGGGCCTTCAGAGACCAGGTCAGCCCTGCCCCCACGCGGTCATGGCCCCGAGACCTCACCTTGATGACCAGGTCCACAAAACCCTTGTCGTCATCGCTGGAGACGGGAGTGTAGGGCCGGATGACCAGGTTTCCATCGATTCGAGCCGAGAGGTAGATGTGCTGGCCTGCAGGACGAGGAGGGGTGATTCCGGGAGTTCTGGAGGGGCCGCCAACTGTCTCTGCAGGGTCCACTGAGGCCAGTCAACTCACCGCCCTTTGCCCCACCCCGTACTGAAAGCCTGGCCTGGCTTCGGCTCCACGACCCCCTTCCCGCCCCCACGGGGATTCCCACCACGTCCCAGTTCCTGCAGCCACACCTTTGCTCACGCTGGTACCGCTGCCGGGGACAGCAGCGACTTCCCCTCTCTGGCTGACGCTCATCCCTGGCGGCCCCCATGGCTGTCACCTTCTCCTTGAAGCCTTCCCCACTCTCCCTAGTTCGAGGGCAAAGCTCCCACCCCTGCGGCCCAGCACCCGGTTCCACTCGGGCTGGGTCAGGGCTGCGCTCACCGACAGGGAGGCCCAGGATGTGCTGGGGCGACGGCAGGGCGAAGCGGAACCGCCGGGTGTCATGGTTGATAACCTGCAGGGAGGCCCGAGCTGTTAGACGGCACCCGGGGCAGGGGGACCCCCGACCGCCGAGCTCCCAGCGCCCAGTGTGAGAAGCGATGCTGATTCACGTGGACTCACAAGCTGCACACACATGGGCCAACGCTGGGTGTGCCTCTGCTCTCACGGGCCCAGAGAAGGGCAGGGACCCAACCGGGGCCACACAGCAAGGTGGTCGGGGTAAGGAATGAACTCGGATCCCAAAGGAAGGCTGCCAGATGGCTCAGGAAATTCTGGGGGCAAGAGAGAGGACCCAAGCCTGCCATCAGCTTGGACAGTGTCCTGGGGTGGCAGGAAGAGCTCGGGCCCCGGGCTGGCAAACCAGGGGCAGGGCCGAGACAAGGCCTCTGTGGGGTCTCCCCTGCACCCAGTGCAGCCAGGAGCGTGGGTGTGGAGGGGTCGTTCGGACGGCAGGCAGCTGTCGGGCACACGTTCACGCCCACGTGAGACTAGGCGATGTGGCAACGTGCGCTCGTGGACACGGTGTCATCACTGGGGACAACAGACTTCTCCGAAGGCACAGAGCATCACTCTGAGCGTCCCTGAAGTGTGCAAGCAGAGCCCGGGGGTCTGATCTCAGGAAGCCAGAGCCCAGCCACCTCTCAGGACACTGGGCTCGGCAGCCAGGGGTCTCCCCGCCCCAGAAGCCCAGGCCCGAAGCCGCATCCCCCAGAAACCTTGCACTCCATGCAAACTGAGCCCCAGGCCTTCTGGGAACGGAGCCCAGGGTTCTCAACTGGTCCTGGGGCTCCAGGTCAGAAACACACATGCCAGTTTTTGGAAGAAGAACAGAAACGAGGGGAAAACACTGATAATTATTGTGCCGGCCAACGCTAGCAAGACGCAGCAAAAGTCACACGCGAACATCGGTGCAGAGCTCCGCACGGTGCCGGCATTCGGCTGCTGGCCATGATGAGCTGAGCAGTAGAGCCCCAGAGGTTCAAGGGGACCGTGCAAGTCAGTGGGCCCAGGAAGGGCAGGCGGTGGGGGCCTCCCTGTGCCTGTGGGGGAGCTCGGCGAAAGTTTCCCAAAGTCGACCCACCTGCTGACCCCAAAAAGCCACCACTAGGCTATAACGGGCATGGGGCAGATTTAACTGCTAGGACTTTTGCCACAGGCCCGGTCAAAGGGAACTGGGGGGGTCCACTGTGTGACGTCCCTATGAGGAAATACGAGACAGTCATCAATGAACTAGGGGAGCACCTGGGCGGCTCCGTCAGTTGAGCGCCCAACTGCGGCTCAGGTCACGGCCTCGCAGTTTGTGGGTTCGAGCCCATCAGCCTCTCCACTCTCAGTACCGAGCCCGCTTCAGATCCCCTGTCCCCCTCTCTTCCCCTCCCCCACTTGTGCTTTGCCAAAAATAAATAAATTAAAAAAATAATAATAATGAACCAGGGGAGCCTGGGGGGCTCAGTCGGTTAAGCGTCCAACTTCAGCTCAGGTCATGAGCTCACGGTTCGTGGGTTTGAGCCCCACATCAGCCTCTCCACTCTCAGTACAGAGCCCGCTTCAGATCTCCTGTCCCCCTCTCTTCCCCTCCCCGGCTTGTGCTTTCCCAAAGATAAATAAATTTAAAAGA